TGGCCGCGCATCAGGTGCAACCCCTGCGGACTCCTACGAAGCTGCAATTGCGACAATTTAACCCTTTGCGGACGAGGATCTCCGAGTGCGCCAGAAATATATTCCTCGGAGAGCTGAAATAAGTATCGAAGATTCGAACGACGTGAAAAGTGAACGAGATATACTGATCGATTAGAGCGCACGTTAAATTACATATCGTCAAACTACGTGTTTGCAACATATGCACTTTCGATGCACAGTTCCGAGGTTGACGATGCGTCGATATTCGGGCTTGAAGCATTTCAAACAATATTTCTCTCCTGTTCCAGCATCTTGGTTGCGCAACGGACGAACCGCGAATCTCGGCGCGGAATCGAAAATTGTTTCTGCAAATGAAAATTCGTGGATCGCTGCGTTCGCGGGATCTTGAAGGAAGGGGAGAGAGTCTCTGCGTGTTTTCTGCAGAATCGAGATATTCGTGGGCCCCAAGGAGGCTGCGAGAGTGGTCTAGGGGGAGGGCAGGTGAGCACTTCGTACCTAATCCCTTTTGAAAACGTCGCCTCGAACACAGGCGTACGCGGTGGCTACACGTATGAGGAGCTGTACGGGCTGTGTACAGACCGCGAGCGGTCCCTAAAAATAGTCTATTCATCGTGGCGAAAAACCCTCCTCCCCTTCAGGTCCGTTTCGCCGTCCTTCTTCGGCTCCTTTCGCGCTCTTCTCTCTGGCTTAGCTCGGAGTCTCGGTTCTGATTTATATTGGATTGACCCCGGGCGCGCACACACCTTTGCCACGGGCGTCTCTCTCTCTCTCTCTTTCTCTCTTTTCCCTTCGCCATCTTGCTCTCTCCCTCTCTCTTTCTTTCTCTCTTTTCCCTTCGCCATCTTGCTCTTTCTCTCTCTCTCTCTTTCTCTTTCTCTCTTGGAATGGTCCCGCGTGTCTCGTCGAGTACGACGAGCCTAGGGGCGAAACGAGCAAGGTGAGACGAGCAGACATACGAGTCGGGGCCGGCGGCGAAGGGTGGGGGGGGGGGGGGGGGGGGGGGGGTTT